ATGGCCGCTCAATTGCATGAAGCCCCGCCTTCTTAATGATGGAGCCAATCGCTAATAGGTAAAATCAGCGCGTCACTGCAGCTGCCGTTAGAAGTCCCGGTTGTTATAGAAACAGTCAGCGTTTTGAGACATGCGCTCAGGACTGCGCATGCGCACTGGCTGATCTAGCCTGAATAATACGCTTTTTATAACGCTATTTGAGCAAAATAAACAACATTTATGACACAGTTGATATCCGATTTCTTTGGTGATTTCAAAAAGGAAATTTAATCGCAAGCATAGTGAACAGTTTTGTAGAATTTGATGTTTCCCCATTCAAAGAGATAGGAGTTGCACTTGCAATGGCCGAGAGGCGTTTCAAAGATGGCTGCCGAGTGACATGACTTGTCTTAAAATGACTTTGGCTGTACTGCTCAGACAGCTTGCAAAATAGTAAAACCAACAACCAAAATCGTGATTTTCCTGAAAAACAATCGTGATATGATATTTTTACCATATCACCCACCTGGGTTTTTATTAGTACTTATAAAGCACATATTAATGCCTTATTCGTCATGACCATATTTTAGATCTCTTAATCCACCCCTTATCTAAACTTAAGGAACAAAACATTAAAAACATTAAAAAGGGTTTCGATCAGGCAAGAGGTAGGGCCGCGTAAATATTGGAGCAGATTTCCAGCAGTGGAGAAACTCAAGGAGCGGGAAGGCCTGGAATCAGATGCCAAGGTTGCTTTGTGTCTTCCTGATAGGTGAGTTACGTTGATTTTGCTTTTTCACACAACTATTCTGTGTTGGTTTTCGCTTGAATATGCAGATTCCGCCATCGTCCCAGGGTTGTGTACGTATGTGTGGGGTGGAGTTATCAAAAAAGGGGCGAGGTCCTGTTGGGGTATGGGCGTGTTTGTTTTGGTGCTTTCAAATATCAACATCGTTTGGAAAAATTTGCTTAGTGCACCTTTAACTAGCAACAAATTAGGAGTTTATTGAGGCAAAAGTCGTAGTTTATAGTTAGTTAATAGTGAGAATTGCCCCCTAAACTAAAAATGTTACTCCCTTTTCTAATTCATGTGTATTTATTAACAATATTAGTTATTTTATATATATCTTCAGTATTAAAAACTGATTATTAGATCTTTGTTGTATATTAAATAACTCAACAGATCAGTATCAGTAAACCAACATATAAATGTATTAACATTAGTTATCAGTCACAGTTAATCAAAACTATAAAACTATAACACACTACTGTTAATTGACTTACTGTCAGGGCAATCCAAATCTGGACTACTGTCCACTGTAAAACACACACACACACACACCCACCATGAAATGAAAAAGCAGTACTAGCAATTTAAATCTATAAACTGCTCTGTTTCAGTCAAATACTTACTTTTGGGGCGTCCATCCATGCTCTTGCTTCTATCCCGTCTTTCCCTGGTCTTCCAGTCACCGGCTGCAGAGAGAAAAGCATAACAACAAAGCTAATTAAATAACTTATTTACTGATTTTGTCTCTAAATTTTAAAAGAGCTGGAAATACCAATGTGATCTCACAGGAATTCGGTGTGTTAGTTTTGAATATACTATTTAACAAATGTACTACTTAAAGCAATTTGATGGATTAGTGTATTAGTGATTAGTGATGGATTAGTAATGGCAAGGGATTTTAATCTTAAGGGCAGTCATCTTAAGTGAGGAGAGGTTGTGTGGAAAGACCTTTATGAAGATTAACGTAGCAACATCTGTGATTTACAGATGTCAAACAAATTGCAAACAAATTGAGTATTAAAATTACTTAAATTTTGCCAGCTGTCTATATGGATGATATACCATCATATATTTTTACAAATTGGGCAAACAAGACAGAGACAATAGTTTACAAGAAAGAGAACAATGGCAGATTGTTTTCATGAAAAAAACAAAAAACATTTATACCCCTTAATATCACTATGTGTAGACACACATAGCATTTTTGGGATACACCATGGACTTAATTTATTGATGCAGCCAAATTTGTTGATTTGTGTCCTGCTCCATCATTTTGAGTTACTCTGACAGAAATTAGGGATGCACAATACTGCCCTTGTGTAATCAGTAAAATGCTCCACTACCAAAAATGATACCATGCAGTGTTTGTACATTGTTTGTGTCAAGACAAAGAAACGCTGACATTAGAACAAACATAATTGATATTAAGGATGTCTATGAAGTAAATGTATGTATTAAATAGAATATTAATCCAGTATTTATGTATGCATAGATGCAGTGCATGTGTCACGTCCATGTACTGTTTTGGTGTTTGTTTTCCTCTCCCACGTGTTCCATGTTCCCTCCTGTGACCTAGTTTCTCCCTCATGTTGATTGTGTTATTTGATTTCAGGTGTTCCCTCTTTAGTTTCCATGGTTTTTGATTAATCACGCCACCTGTTTCAGTTCTCCCTGATTACTTTCCCTGTGTTTATTAGCCCTGTGTTTTCCTGAGTCTGGTGTCTAGTCTTAACAGTCAATCCCCGTGTGCTACGCGTGTGTTCCCATGTATTTGTAAATAAAGTCTGATTGCTCTGGATTCTCCCACGTCTCCTCGCTCCTTAGTCTCCTCGCAGTAGGCGCACCGTGACAGAAGACTAGACCAGCAAATATGGATGAACGAGACATGTTCGTCGCCATGAGCCACGACCCGCTCACCTACGTGAGGGCATTCATGCTGCTCGCCCTTGCCAGCTCCTTCGATGGAGAGAGCCTTGTGACACTGTTCCGGCTCGGGATCACTTACCATCAACCAACGGAACTCCCAGACACCACCAACCTCAATTGGAAGGAGGTGGTCATCCGGTGTCTGGAGAGTCTCCGATCCCGATCCGGAATCCCGCCGCCCACTGTTCCGCAGTCAAGCCTGCTGGTCGCTCCGCAGTAGGGATGTAATGGTATGAACATTTCTTATCACAATTATAGTGACCAAAATTATCACGGTTATCAGTATTATCATGGTATTGTTAAAATGTGCTGGAGATGTTCAAAAAGTACCGACACATAAATCACTTCACCAAGTTTTATATATAAAAATCAACAAACAAAATGACTTTGTTTGCATAATCACTAAAACAATAACATTACCAATGATGTTCAGATTTTAAATGACAACTTGAATGACAGCAGTTTAATAGCATGTTGAAAGATATGTAAATGTTCAAATAAAGCTTTGAAAAAGTTTCATAAAAAGGCAAACCTCACATTTCAGCCTTTAAACAAAGAAAATATATGTCAAAATGATGTTTGATTAATAAATGATTATGTATTTTATCTGCCCCATAAATAATTCTAGATAACTTATCTGAATTGTTTATATGTGTAGAATCCACATAAGCTTGTTTTTCATCAATTCGGTCCGTTTTTGGCCAGACAGAAACTGCACATAGGCTGAATGTAAATATAGGTCTCTGTAAATCCACTTGCTGACAGCAGGTGGCGCTTATGGAAAAGCTGAATTAGAGCTGTTTCCAGTAACCTCCGTGGACAAAGCAGTATTGCGATTAAGAACCCTTCCTTTAGGTATCACATGGAGCGAAGATGAAAACAAAATGCCATCGAATTACTTAAAACTGTGCTTTATGCTGGACAGTATTTATTTATCTATCACAAGTTGTTCAAATCGCGGTAATCTAATACGGTTTTAATGATAATTTAAAGATGAAACGGTAATACTAACTGTGGGGAATTTTATCATGATTTATCGTCAAACCGGTAATCGTTACATCCCTACTACACTGTCCCGTCCGCCGGCTGCTGCACTCTCAAGCCTGCCAGCTGTTCCATTGTCAAGCCCACCGGTCGGTTTACTCCCAAGCCTTCAGCTGACAGGAGCCCGATCCTTAACCCCAAATCAAGGGAGGAATCTGAGGAGGAGGCGACTGTTGGCTCCAGCCCCTGAGTCCGCTCCAGTGTCGGCTTCAGGCCCTGAGTCTGCTCCTGAAAGGGCTCCAGTCCCCACGTCCAGCCCAAAGAGGGCTCCAGTTCACACGTCCAACCCAAGGAGGGCGCCTGTTCCCACATCAAGCCCAGGAAGGGCCACAGTTCCCGAGTTAGGCCCACGGAGGGCCTCAGAAGCCGATATTTCCCCCAAGGATTTTTTGGGGGGGGGGGGGATCCGTCCGTAGAGGTCAGGCCAAGTGCTGAGGCCAGGCCTCCTGAACAGTCTGCTCCGCCATGGCCTCCTGAATGGTCTGCTCCACCATGGCTCCCTGAACGGGTACCGCCTGCCCCCCCCCTTCCCGATGGAATTGTTACGGCGCGGGACGCGCCTTCCGGGAGGGCGAATTAATGTCACGCATGTAATGTTCTGAATTCTCCCACGTCTCCTTGCAGTAGGCGCACTGTGACAGCATGAGCTTAAGCGCACATCTTTTTTGAGCTTGTTGAGTGCACATCCTATTTTTACAGGCATCATTGGAAAGTTTCTAGTTCAGTCAGATATGTCAATAGCAAAAAATGTCTGTTGATGTTTTCCTGCAGTTGAAACTGCATGAGTGATGAGGTAATTCTGAAAACTGTTACTGTATCATGCTTACTTAAGGTTCATTACACTTAAATTAGTCTAATTTCTGATTGGTTGTTAAATACCACAACAATTTTTTAATATAAATAGAGGCAACAAATAAAATATAATAATTTTGTTTACAATAAATGCTGTTGTTTAGCATATAGTCCATGGTTCAATTATGGGGACACTCATGCAACACCCAATCACACCTCAATAGACTTATGCACGGTTAATGCTGTTAATAAAGATTCTAAGGATGGGTTGCACCAATAAGGATTAAATAAAGCAACGTTTAGAGGTAATCACGGATTTGTTGATCTGGTCAAAGATTCAGTTTGGTTATTAAGCACAGTTGTCACTCTCATTAATAACCAAACTGTTGTGTAAATCTGACTGTATTTAGCACTTTAAAACTAAACTGACAACCATGTTAATAGGACTGATCATGAAAATTTTACTTACATCTGCCTTCCCTGTCAGCCATTATGTCGTCCACTGATGTCGCGAGTGTCTTTATGCAGTGCTTCAGCTCATCTGAGCATCCTTGTGGCCTCTGTCTCACTGTTCATCGCCCTGTGGGCAATTACATGTTTTCACAATTCACACTCATTTCAGGTTTGAAAAAGTGATTGATTCTACAAAACAATATAAATAAATAGAAATTGAGAAGCGAGAAAGATCAGTATTTTTTGTATACTGTAACAGTGTTACTAATGTTGCATAGATGTTTGTTTTATGCTCTGATGAGAGGTTACATTTTGCCCCTGGCTAATTTTTAGACTGTTGTCTAGGAGATGCAGCATTGTAAAGTAGACAAGTCACGTGTAAAACTGGTTTAGGGGTATGGAGTATGATTTACAAAGCAACTGCAAACATTTGTTCTAACACTTCCCTTTATACTGCATTAGTTATGTCACCCAAAACTAAAAACACTTCACAAAACACCCTATGAAATTTTTACTTTCGATTTAAAAGTTAATGGTATCTTATGTTATATAATTTAAGATATATTATTTTATCCTAAGGGTTCCCAGATTCAGTAATTGAAATGAATATTCCTGAAAATGAAAAACTGACACTTTTTCTGACACTTATTTTACTGTAAAGCTGCTGAAGAAATCTGTACTGTATAAAGCACTATAAGTAAACCTTAATACATCTGCAATTTATCAGACATTTCAGCCTACACCATGTGATCACTCTTTTGTACACTGAACTAGCAGAACAGGTTTTTATGTCTCCGGGTGTTTTAGTTCTGTTCATAAAAACTTCAATAATTATTAAATACATGTTTTAATCAGTGAAAGATCCAAAAGCAACATATTAATGCAAGCTGAATAATAGTTACATTTTAAAATAAATATATTTTGCTTTTGTGGGGAAATTTGCACATTGTTACAACATAAAGTTTGTCATTGGGCGTAGGGTGAAAACAAGGTGAAAATGAAAGCCACTACCATTAAAGAGTGCATTTATAAATCTTACATTCTGCTATATATTTCCATTAAAAAACTAATAATCAATAAAACAATAATAATAATAATAAAAGAAGCAGTACCTTTCAGTTGAAGTGTTGCTTAATCTGTTTATGAACAAGAAAGACGTTTCTCTAAGTGTGAATACGAGTGGGTGGAGTGGAGAGGTTTAACGATCACACTCTGGCTAGAGATGGGAAGATAACAGCCCACATAGTAGAAATGGAGCAACACTTCCTCACCTTCTGCCCTAACTATGCAGGCATTCAGAGAAAAATCTATTCCAAATATAAAATAATTTGCCCTGACTTCAGAAAGTTGGGCAATAATGCACATTACATTACACATCTCACAACAGATGCATCCAACACATCTGTAAATAGGTTTATAATTCAACATGTCATAAACATTGGCATTAAAGCACAGGAAAAGTGTGTAATGGAAGCTTTGCAGATGCAAACAGGGGTAAATGTTGTGTTGTTGTGCGTTTTTCTTCTTCTACATACAATCAATCTTACAATCGTACAATCTTTGTCTGCATTTCATGTTCATTTAGGATACAGATGTTTGATAACTGTAGATAGAGATTTACAGAGGAAATTACATTTTATGACCATGATGCTTTATTAAATTCCTTGTAATCATCTGATTTGGAGCTACTGTTAATTTTATTTAATGTTGAAAGCATCACAGAAATTTTAAATGTATGATGTTCAGTGTCATAAAGGACAACAAGTCCAATAATACTTAATGATGTGTCTGATAAATGCTTAATCATTTCATTACATATTTCATCTTTCCC